GGGTGTGGGAGGGGGTGACTGGGGTTTTTTTTTGTTTAGTTTTGGGGATTTTGTTTGTTTTAATGCAACAATTCAGAATTATGCTATAAATTTTCCCATAGTTGGTGATCAATTTGCACAGCAAGGTACAGACCTTTATTACACGACAGTACTCATTTTCATTAGGTGGCATTAAGCATGCGACTGACTAATGTTCTTTAGAAGGCCACACACAAGAGTCGTTACAGTAACAAGGATTATTCTGCAGACCAGGAGTGACATCTGGGTATTTTACTTTTCACAAAGTACTGAGAGGTAAATCAATGGGCTAGCTCATTACCTTCAATCCGAGAGTTCCATTTTATGGTCTTATTTACATAATTTTCTGTAGTTTTTTAATTTAGACTTTGTTTTGTACCACAGTAGTTAAATAAAGAAATTGACAGGAAACAGTGATAATCAGAAGCCTTTAACTATAGTCGTCTCCAAACAACATACTCATTTACTGTGACAGTGACAGATTTAGTAGACTTACAGGACAGCAGAACTGGGATTCTCAAGCTTAAACCTGGTACAGTGGCTGATCCCAAGTAACCTATAGTGGGAAGCAGCCAAGGCTACCACATGCACTTGATATCGGTAAAGAGAACTATTTTTTTTCTATAGCAGCTTAGTATGGAACATTCAAGCCTTGAGCATTAGGAATGTCTGAAGCGTAGTAGTGGAGTTTCATTTCTTGTTATATGATTCTACACCTTTTGGTCTGGAGGCCAAACTCAGTTTTTATTTCACAAAGTCTGAAAAAATTGACTACATATGGTAATGATAGCCTCTGAGAAGGATACAGTTTTTGCATAGTTGTGTTAAGAATTCTATCATATAGACTCCCCTTGAGATGTATGTAGTTACTGAGCCATCCCAACTACTGTCACCATTTTGGTGTACTTACACTGACATACAAATTAATACATACCATCAAAGCTGCCTTTCTCTGTGGCAAACTGTAACAGCTGACTGTATGTTTCAATGGAAGGTCGGTAAACAAAAACTCCTGAATTAAAACAGTCGGGCCAGCCTGGATCTGGTGCTGCAGACAGCTCTTCTCTCTCAAAAAGCTCATCTATATTTGACAAAACCTAATTGTAAAGGAGTTTAAAAAGATGCTTTTAGGTTAGGAATTGTGGTATCACATTTTAATGGATTTTAGCATCAACATTAAGACATGAATGAAAGTTCTTGTGTCAGTGTTCACCTTATGAAAGACAATACTTTACAGAAATAGTCCCCACAGACTTCATTACAGTTAAATTTAGTTTAAAAGGCACACACATTCTTACTGGCACTAGTCAATCTGGTAAAAGGTTTCTATTACCCCTATGCTTAAAAAACCCAAAAACAACCCACAGGAAAAAATCCAACAACCATGATACTAGGTCATGTGATACACCCTGATACACGGGACACAAGCACTTACCATTGTGTCTGCATCCATGAAAACACATTTTGAAAACTGTGTCAGTTCCCAGCAGTGAAGTTTTGTTAGTGTGACACCCAGCTCAGGTCTTTTCATTAACGCCAAGTGTGCTGAATCCCCACTATCCAAGACATTTACCAATATGACTTCATCAAAGACTTTTTCCAGCACTCTCCTGGGGAAGAGTCAATTGGCAAGATTTAGTTCTAGTGTTACTACAACAACAGACCACATGACAGATTCCGTAAAAGAAGTGGAATAGCAGGGAACCTGTCAACATTTCTTGTTGAAAAAGGGCAGGAGTTGACTGCATACGTTGGAACACACAAGTATACCTGTCTGCCACAAAGTTTGCAATGTACAAACTTTTGGGGAACAGAGAAGTCTCTTGGGTTTTTTTTTTCTTCCACAGAGTTTTAGTTGCCATTGCTATCAAGTCCAGTAAGTTACAGCTATGTAGAAGAAACTTTGTACAAAGGTTTTTTTTTTTTCCATCCAGATTCAGATTTAACAGTCTACTCTGAGCAGGCAGTTAAGAAATGGGAAGCTGTTAGACTAGCTTGAGCAGGACAGTAGCTACTGCTGAGACACAATTTTATGCAATACTTACAGTGTTCTGGATTTGTGACATCTAGGACATTTGAGACATCTGACTAGACCCAGTCGCTAAACCTTTCTTTATCCCATAAAATCTTTTCAAGATTGACTCAGTCATCGCTGTGGGTACAGAAATGTTTTGAGCCAGTATCGTATTCGCTAGAGAGTGACAAACTTTCAGGCAGTTTAGTGAAAATTTGTGCCAGATATCCTTTGCTTTACCATCAATAGAGCATTACCATTAGTTCAAGAGATTAAGGTGTTAAGGTCCTGCTTAAAACAGGAAACATCAGTAAAGTCTTACTGTTCTACAGCTATCTTGAATGCTCAGCAACTACCAGTACAATTTGCGTCACAGAGCTTGCAAATGAGTTTTGGAACTCTGCTTTGCAAGGCAGCCTTTGTACCGACAGTTCGGTGTGGACAGTGCTTCTGAACTTCAGGCATACTTTGCTAGTGGAGATAGGGCGAGAAATGCAAGTTCCAATTACACCACTAAGTACATAGGTATGACTAAGGGCATAGGACTAGCTGGCTTCCACTAGCACATGGGTACATTTAGGGCTCATCTTAAAAGAGCACACTCACCTAGTAGGCTGGAATGGATATTCCTATGTGCAACATCTTAATATTGATACGACTGTTTAGCTGCCAGGAGACTCCAGGGAGAGTCACTGCGTTTTTTTATTGAGTCACCTCTCTATTTTGTCTATATATTGATAACTCTTTTCAGAATTTCTTCCTCATGCAGAGAATCTTGACCCATCATGTGTAGTTCCCATAGTTACTGTTTCCTTGTTTGTCTTTTTTTTTTTACCCTCTTACATGTGGAAAGAGAATCCAGTCCATACCACAGTGACACTATTCTAAGGAGGCTGCAGGAAGCCTGTTAACTTCATTTGATGTACTGTGGTGACCTCGTTAGAAGTCTCTGTTCAGCTGCTGATTTGACATACTCAGTGTAAAATTTGACATACTCATGGTAAAATTTGAAGTGTCTGCTAGATTTCAAGAGAGCTTGTGTTATATTATCTCGATGAGGAATACTTCTGCAAAACAAATAAATACCAATTCCCTGCTTCCACCTCCACATGCATACACACATAGCACTAACAAATGCACAGGCAGTATCACATTGTTGGATAATTCTAAGTAGGACTACAAAAGAGCAAAGATCCAGTGGAAATATCAGTATCAAGTCATGGTTTAGAGCTCTAACTGCAGACTATTTAACTGATCACAGGGAAGAAAAAAACCACACCAAAACACAAAGCTTCATGTTTGAAGAACTTACAGAACCCCAGATAGCATAGATAAATTAAGTTCTGCTGAAATGAGCTGTTAGCTTCCAGAGTTTTGAAAGGTTACTGTTGAGGAATTTAACTTTCATTTTACAACCTGCACATCAGCAGCAACTGTTGCAGTCTGAAGTATGTGAGTGACCTTACCTCATAAGATCTGAGACCTGAGGAGTTATGAGTGCAGTCAGCTTCCTTGTTGTTCTGTACTGTTGCAAGGATGAACCAAGTACCAGTGCTCCTTTCACATAGGAGTCATTTGTGGCTAGAGTCACAAAAGACTGATCTGGAAGAAATGAACTTGGTCGAGTTAGCATGATCCACTACTTTATTCTGAGAGACATACATTCTAAACCTAGTATTGTTATGTAATCACGCTGTGAGGCCTTTAAGATATGCCCTTTACTTCTGTGTATAGGGCCTTCCTATGTGACTCAATGAAGCAGATTACTCGCATACCTGTATTTGCTGTTGGTAACTTGACAAATGGCAAAATGCAGTAAAATGACCCACAAAAATCAAGACCGTTTCAAAAGAACAACAGTTCAAATTTGTCCACAGGTTAAATAAGTCACACCAAATGTAGAGACAGTCCCAAATTCTAAAGAGCCCTACTTTGGCCACTAATATGCAATTATGCAAAAAGTGTTTGGAGTCAGTAGACGTGCTTTTGGCCTAAAGTTAGTAGGGTTTTGTAGAGTTTCTCTAGGTTCAGCTCTCAACCCCAAAGCTAAAGCACATAAAACTTGCATTTCATTTCCAAATGAAAGTAAGTATTGAATTATATCTTAGACAACAGTTTTAAGTTTTGCTAGCTCAGGATTTTGCAGATGAGTTGTTCTGCAACCCATGATTGCAGCTCTGTCACAAGAATGCAAGATTTAAACGGCAAGTAACTAGTAATACAAAAAGCAATTTAAAACTTGCAGGAACAATTTTCGCTCTTTGAACAAAAAGAGGTACTATGATCTTCTGCTCCAGCTGTATCTTAAATACAGCTTAAGAGAGATGGTTTTGCCATATAGTCCTTATTAAAGTACTTCAATAAGTACTTCACCTTCTCTTTTTATACAAGCTTTGCATTCTTTCATGTTGTTTTAAATTGCCAGAGTGGGACTGACAAAAGCAAACAAGTACCTTATAGAAGTTTTTCAGTTCCCTGTTAACTATTTTTCATATAGACCTCCTTTCAAAGTTGTATCATTTTAGAAAGCATGCTCTTTTCTACCAACCCGTTTTTCACTCTATCAACAAAACAGTTTCTTCCAAAGAATTTCAAGAGCCAAATTTATTTTAGCAACTTTGATTTATTTTCTCTTTACAGAAGGTGTTAACTAGGTTAGAACAGAGTGAGAGTCCTGGGCACTTAAAGGCTTACTATCAAGCCTAGTAGCAAGATTAAAATACCAACTCCTTTCAGAAAAATTGTTGTTTGCCTCAACTCTTCAGTTCTCGAGGCAGTCTTCGTCAATATCTTTTTAACTTAATACCCCCTCAACAGTCAACGACAGATAATCATATACCATAATTGCCTATAAACTCTGCAAACCTGGTCTGCAAGATCTCTAGACCAGCTACAAAACCTTCTATTTTGCTTAGCAGCAAAACCAACTAGTCCCAAGGGATTTAGATTATAGTGGTCAATCACAAAGATCAAAAAAGCTTCTATGATGCCAGGAATAAAGATATTTTCTTTCACTTTTAGCTGCCTATTTGTACTAGTTCATATTCAGCAAGTCTGCAGACCAACTTTATGTTTCTTTGAAAGGGCAAGTGTGTAACATTTTAAGTTGTATAAACATCCTCCTAATAGGACAGGGCTTTTCACTCGGTAATTTGCATGTTACTATTCAATACATGGAAGTCTGAAACTATACTCTCAGACAGCTCACTAAAAGTCCAGGGTAGACAACGTGGGATTGTGCCCAATATTCATCTGAACGTTGCTTGTTTTTTGGGTTTTTTTCCCCTAATGGTGTAAGACTAATTCTTAAAGTGACCTTGCCACTGAAAGACAGGTCTTTTCTTCACTGACCTGTTAGCAGATATACTTTTACTCTCTCTCATCTTCTTGAAACTGAATAGTCACACACAAAGGTTTTCAGAGAAATAAAGTCAATTTAATGATGGAGTAAAGGCTAAGAAGCCCCCTACTGCATCTCAGCTATAGGAGGAAACTTGACAACTGCACGACAGGAGGTGAATATTGCCAATCTGAAGACCATCTAAGTCAGCATAACTTTCCGAAGTTTTGAATAAACTACGTTCTATTCTATATCTAAAGTACATTCACAAGTACACGAGCCCACACTACAATTTGGGTAAGACCCATTGGTGCTTATTATGGAAGTTATATCTGCAAAGACTAGTCCATTCTACCTAAGCAACAGGTATTTCAGGTGTATGGGTCTCCTATCTCATCCTTTTCCCCTTCTCTGTAAACACAGAATCTTGCGTTTACACAGCAACCACTGTTAGGCCCAAAAGAGAATTAACTCTTGGTGACAGTATGTCTGTAAAACGACATAGAATGAGAGACAGCTTCCTAACTGACTTACCCAGACAAAACCATGCCACTTCAGAGACCTCTTTGGCTGCCCAGGTCACGGGCTGTAATATCTCTTTGCAATGTTTTGTACTAGCCCTTAAAAATCCACAAGCATCCTGGAAGTCTGAGCTAAAAGCGAGCTTTCATTTGATGGCATGCAGGAGGTTATTGGAGTGCTTGCCCCAGATCATTTAAAAATTCCCCTGGAAGATTTTTTGTAGGCATAGCCAGAGTTCACAGACGCTTGCCTTTCCTCCTATTCTCTGCGTTAGGTGCTAGTATATCTGACTTTTTTTTTGAGTACGGGATTCCTAGAGAGACAGGAGCATGTTATCAAGACATGCACTGGGGGGGGGCAGACTTCCTGCAGGCTTCCAGACCTGAAAATGAAACCGAATCTCCTGACTTCATGTGAAAATCGGGAGAAAAACAAAACAAAACAAATAACCGCAAAAAAAAAAAAAAACAACAACAAAATAAAAAAAAACAAACCCAACCAACCAACCAAAAAAAAACCCACAAAAAACCAAAAGAAACACGGAAGAAAAAAGCAACACGTTCGTGGAGAGCCGGTAAGGACCTACTCACTGCAAAGTATCAAAATCACAGAAATCACAAGCTCTCTCAGGCGTTTCAGGAGAGGGCTGCGTTTTCCCCTGTGAGCCATTGTAGCCCTACAAGTGGCATCTCCGACCCAGCCTGCTCCTCACCACGCCGGCTGCATCCCGTCCGTTAGGGGACGGAGCCTGAGGCAGAGCATCGAGATAGGCGCGGAGAGAGCCGACACCGTGCGCGTTCTCTCAAACCGCACAGTGAGGCCCGGCGGGACGGCTCCGACCCCCCCCGCGGGCAGCCCCTGCCCCCACCAGCCGGAGCACGCTCTCCG